ACAAAACTCTCTGTTATGGACCTAGCACAAAAAAAGTATTAGATGAAATTGATAAGTGGAATGTAATTCCTGTTTTTTTTAGATCTTGGAAAGGCGTTTGACGCCGTCAATCACTCAATTGTACTTAGACAATTATATGGATATTGGATACGAGGCCTACCTTTAGATTTGGTTGAGAGCTATTAAAAAACAGGAAACAATATATGAATATAAATAATGTAACATCAGACTCATTTCTAATAATATGCGGTGTTCCACAGAGCTCTGTACTTGGTCCTCCTTTGTTTCTTTGTATCCTTTGTATCTACGTACTTTGATATCCGTCTGTTTGCAGACGACACCAGCTTATTTCATACATTCCAATCTAGGAACATTATTAACCTACATTATGTTAATGAAAAGTTAAATCAAATAGTTGACTGATGCGACTGTAACAAATTGACAATAAAAAAAAAACTAAGTATATATTATTCAGAGGTAAAAATACAACAAAACAACAACAAAATTATTAGTGAGGTAGGGTGTACTGCATATGCTGATATGCTGCTGGACCACAATTTGAATTGGGAAAAAACATATTGATCATGTGATGAGCAAAATAAATGTCAAAGCAGGTAATATATATAAATTAAGAACAATTATTCCAAGATCAAGTTTATTATTGTATAATTCATTTATTTTGTTACATATTTTATATATGTTAGAAACATCCAATACATAATATTCAAAAACGATTTGTATGTACTATTACTGGTTCATCTTCATTTTCACATACTTCTCCATTGTTTAATAGCTGAAATTTACTTGATATATACAAACAACAACAGGTACAGTTATCCCTTTTCGTTTTTGATAGCCTTCATTGGCTTTATCCTAATTCTATTTCACAACACTTTCATTATCATTAACTATTATTACTATTATTATTAGTAGTAGTAGTGATTTTTGTGTCACAGTTACAGACAAGTACAGTTGACAATTAATAGAGGAAGAAAAAAACTATCACGTTAAATTAAACCATGGGACCCTGCAGGTAGGCCGGTCACATCGGTTCTCACCACAAGAGGTTACAACCCACCCACCCCTACCAATCCCACAGCAGAAATAAAACACACAACATTTACTAAAAAATACTACTGTACACGGTTGTTAGGGCAGAACTTTATTATAAAATATAGGCAAGGAAATTTATTGCGTTGGTTAACTGTTGAAATCTACATGGCTTTTTAGCCATCCCTTCGATGCTCACTTGAAGCAATGGTACTGCAGTACCTTAACTTGATGTGCGGCGGAGCTTGGCTCTGGCACCCCACGAAGCAAACTTGACGCCAGGTACAAAAGCACCCATGTATCTTCTCAAAGGACGCCACCCGACCCAAGAGTACCACAAGGAAATCTAACAAAAACAGGTAGCACCGACAGTAGAATTGAGACAGATTCAGAAACAATAGTGTAGTTTACAACCATCGCGGCAGCACAGTGCTTTGTTTACTGTCCATGCATTGTCGAATTTTTGTAAGTTTGCAACTGAATTTACAAAAGTCGAATTCCATCCGGAGGCGTGCCTGAACAAGCCCAATAAAAATGTGTAAGGGGTTGAAACATCCTTCATTTTGACGTTTGTTGCGGCGTGACAGGTGGATTGCACGTTTTGCACTCGCCGCCGTAAAATTAAATAGACACTGTGCCTCACTGATGTAAATGCACGTGATTTAGGTGGAGGAAGCATAACAAAGTAGTAGTAGTAGTGATTTATAATAAACAGTTTGACAAGGACAAGTAACGTAAATGAAAGCAAAAAAAAACGTACAACGTTAAGCTTTGGGACCCTGCAAGTAGGCCAGTCTCACTGGTTCTCACCACAAGGGGTTACGATCCCCCCTACCAGTCCCAAAACAGAAATGAAACACACAACAAAGTTTAAAAACTACGTGATAATACTACCGGTTGATTTATTTGTGATGAAAAGTGGACATGATTTAAAATGACAGTAGGCGGGTTCAGTGTGTTAAAAAACAATACTTTATTTGAGATTTGACAGTCACCCGTGACACGACGTGGCGAAGCGTACTCAGGCCATTCAACGTAGCTAACTGAAAGCTTGGTGTTTATAGCACCGTACCAGCAAAACGTGTGCAGAGAACAACAAAAAACACTGTGAAAACCATCATTGCCACCTAATGGTGTGAACTAGTCACGTGACATTAGAACAGCGAAACGAGACGGCCAGCCTTAAGATATCAAAATATCCGATTATGCATTCATGTTTGTCAGACAATATTTGCTTCATATATGATTACAGTAGTAGTAGTAGTGATTGGGAAACCGACCAAAACTTGAAGTGAAAATCAACGTGATATACATAAAGTATGTCACCCCACGAAGCCTACTTGAAGCCGGGTACACCAGCATCTATGGGTCTTCTCAACTGTGATCCGTGAAAACAATACCAATACAACAGACTGGTCCAGGAATATTAATTTGTAGCAGACTACAAGCGTACTTCTAAGCAAACAGCAAGCTCGTCATTGTCCACAGTACATAACGCATCGCATATAGCCCACTTATTGATAAAAACCTGTAATTTATTACTTATTTTGAAAAAGTCAAATTCAGCTTTTAACCTTGAAATGAAGATTTCAAGTGGTTCGATCACGCCGTTTTCTTGGCGTTTGTTGCGCCTACTGATGTGGATCGAAATCTTAGCAGTACAGGCAATATAATTAAACAAGTTACTTGCTTGACGAGATACGAATAAACCAGATCTACCAGGAGGCAATAAAATTAACCACCACACAGGTATGTCAGCATCGAATACAACAAAATTTTGTATTATTGTTTTGATACAGTTGTACAGAGGAACAATAACAGGACAATCAAGAAATATATGACGTAAGGAGTCGTTGTCCCCGCAAAGTGGGCACGTGTTCGATTGCGAAAAATTGGCATGAACCAGAAATCTGCCAGTAGTGTATGCTCCATGTATAATGCGCCACTGTAAGTCCCCTTCTAACTTAGTAACCGGGGAAGCATAGCAAGCTTTGAAGTTCGGTTTATCTTCGTCCGAGAGATTCAAGATTTTCCGCCACACTGTCACATTTATCCGGATGCCGTTTAATATGAAACAATATACATTGTAATCATGTATTTATACACTGTCCCTTTTTCTAGTTTATATAGGGGCAAGTTTATTTCATTAGAATGATGAAGTTGGTAGTAGTCATTCCAGGGTTTGGGTGATTTAATATATCTCGTTACTATTCAGGTAAGTGTTGATTGTTACTTTCCATTTTTCAGGAATACTTTGATGTAATGATATAAATGGAGATGTAGTGTGCGTTCCGATCGGATATTCAGTTTGTTGTATATCTCCGTGCTCGAGGACCATGCTTTACTCTGTTTATCGACTAGGTTGTGTATCTTGGTGATCCCGGCCGCCGGGAGAAATTTCGTTAAAAAAGTCTCATTGAAGGTAGGAAGACAAAGTAAAGGATTATTAAAAAGTGGCTCATTGAGGAGACTGACCGGATTAGTATCATTGATTTTACGCCTTTTTGCAAGCGATTTCCAGCAGTGTAACAGCCCAGCGTAAACACTAGGTAAGTTTGGATGTGGTAATGTTATATTAGTTGCAAGCAGACGCTTGGTGAGCATCAAATTGCCTACTTTACTGAAATAGTAATCTGTGAATTTGAAACTGGGATGATCATAATCAATATACAAATATCTTTGAATACTAGTATATTGAACACGATTAGCAATAATACGTGATTGTAGGTGAATCAAATTGTGTCCTCCGTTCTCAAGTGGCAGGTAGAGCGTCTCAGCAGTTATCCAGTGACGACCTTGCCACAAGAACTCAATAAATAATGACTGGATATAACTTATCGTTTCAGACTGACAGGGCGCCAATTTTTGAGCTTAGTGTTATCACCCTTTTTGGGGAGGAGAGTTACGACTGCACGCGAGAACGAGAGTGGTAACACGCCGTCATCAATAGATAATTATAATGACCGCATGCAGATCTCTGCCTATAACATGCCAAAACGTTTGATAGAATTCGTTTGGCAGGCCATCCAACCCCGGCGTGCGACCCCGTGGTAGCAGCTTAAGTGTTTTATTCAATTCATCGAAAGTAATTTCACTATCGAGTAGTAGTAGTAGTAGTAGTAGTAGTAGTATGGCTCCATGTGCTCAATGCGACGTATGCGGGTGTACAACTCGTAGACCAGTGACTTGCGGATCTAGTGTAGTACATGTAGTTTTCTGCTTTATACTATATTGACACTGTCCTGTAGAACAATATTTTATTGGTTCCGTTCAACAGTACCCAGTTATTACAATAATACCCCTCCAAAGGACAACATATTCTAGGTGTGTGTGTCTCCTCTGATGTTATTTGACACAAAACAAGGTCAATTTGAAACAAGATGATTATTATATACTAATGCAAGGTCATTTGGGTTCATCCGTGTCTTTGCTTAATATAATTCACCAGAGATGAAATTACATTTATGTGATTGACATAATTGTGATGTATTTGTTCAGAAGTTCGGTACGAAATGCACTTTACTTTTCTGTCGTCTGTACAAAGCCGGTGCAAATCAAATTGAGACTAACCACTGTAACCATACCCATGGTTCTTAAATCGTAAGGTGCGCCCTCTATTATTTTTATATGACATTTCTGCAGAATTTGACCTCTCGTTCACTTTTGTAAACAGTCTGAAAACCGCAACTCTGAAGCAAACAGATTTTCTCACGAATGAATTTCACGGGGTTAAAATACAAGTAAATAACACTGTCAACTCTCTTCTCTATTTTATTTGAAATCGGTACATGATTTCGCCTGAAGTCACTTTAGCATGCACAGAACAGGGTAAGCAAGTTTTTACCCACTTTCTGCATACACAAGCAAAATATTAGAATAGTGTAGTTTACCAGTACACGAACGAGTTCAATTGTGGCCATGAACTATCTTTCCACGGGTAAGATATCGTCTTTGAATCACGTAGTTTATTACAATGAAATAAAAGATATTACAATAAAATCTCTGTTATGAAATTGAAAGATTAAATGCGGACCATCGCGGTAAATATAAATGTTCCCTGTCAAAAATGGTGTGAACCGCTTCAAAATTGAATTGCTTGTTCTAATTCACATGTGTATGGTTATTTGGCATTATGACTCAGTTTAATTCAGTTTGCATGTTGTAGATCAGACTATCGTACACAAGTGCTTTGTTTAATAAGTTCAGATTTGAACAAACTATCGATCAAACAATAATATTTACAGCAATAGTTTTTTTATTAAGAAGTGATGAAATTACAAAAAACAACCATGATAAATATAAACACAATCAAAATGATAGAACATAAAAAATGTATAAAAATGTCACAATTGCATAGTTGCATATACAGATGGTTCAACAAACGTAATATGCACCATGTATACTTATAATGGGTGGCTTAACGCAGACGACAACACGTCATGTTGGTGATTGTGTCCGGTTATAGACAGGTATGAGCCAAGCATTGTTTCTTAATCGATTCGTTTCTATATTAAAAATGAAAATAAGTCAGGAAAAAAAACTCCCGTGAGTATGCACGTGGTCGCCTCACCTTTGTTGTGATTGGTCAATTACAATTGACCAAGTGTGACTGTGTTATGAATTGTGTAACGCAGTTCCTTGTATTTATTCAGATTCCGTTGTAATATCTATGATGACAACTCTAAATTTGACGAATATGTTTTGTTGTGTTTAATCATCTCCTTGAGAATTTCTGTATTATTTACTTGGATGAACCCAGACATCCACCCTAGGTGCCTCCGAAATAGCTACAGGTTGCTAGTGCTGTTGTTGTTTTTTTCAATAAATTTGTTTTAAAGCGGTCGATGTTTTTGTACATTTGATATTTGTCAAATCATTGGTATTGAAATAGTTGTATTGGGGAAAGATATAACATGCGCCTGTAGCTTTTGGTTGTAACTATCATGTTACGTCATTTATATGTATAATACGTAGTTTAGGATAGATGAAAAACTATCCATGCGATGAAAGGTATTTCAGCTGATAATATTTTTATGATACGCAAAAAACACAATGCAGCAAACTGTTGTTAAAATACAAGTTAATGGGCCTATGTTTTCGTGTGCGAGGAATTACCATTAGTTCAGCAGAATAAATGGCACAGCATAGTCGTTTTGAATACATTAGCGACCAAAGTGCATCAGCGGGCTTCGACGCGAAGAACCAGTTCGGCAAACTCAGTCCATGCTTTGATAATGTGCTGTTTATGACAAATGTTTGCAAATTTTAAAAAAACGCTTTTTATTAATAAGTTTATATTGTAGCATGACGTAGAATGTCCAATTTACACAACTTTGTTGTCTGCTGCAACGCAAGAATTAAATATTTACAATGGATTCGAAGTCCTTGTATTGTGACCAATGTCACTTGTCACAAGTGTCTCACAATACACAATGGCAGTTAGTCTCTTTCATTGATATTAATATTATCATCTCAGATTCAAGTTCAAAGCTGCATAAGTGGTTTAGGTTATATACGTGCAGCACACTCCGACAGCATATATCCCGTCTGGACTTCCACTAACGCCCACTCTAGCGAAACATTTGTTATCGAACGACTGCGCCCCAGCAGAATCACCAGACCATGAATATGCATTGCAGCCAGTCATACGCCATCCATCTTCACATTCAGCTGCAGTCTGTTT